TCTGTCGCGATGCAATCGTATGATCCGGTAAGGAGAGTGCGACAATTTTTACATAACACCGATCTACAATAGAAAAGGTGTGTGGTGTCGCGGGACACCGGATAGGAACGAAGTTCCTTATGCCAAAAATATTAATTTTAAGTTCTATTCGAGGTATAAAGAAAATAAAACTTGAGATTTCGCAACAACCCACGGTCATTCGGTAGCGTGCGAACTTATTGTGGTACACTTCATTCACGGTTGTTTGCATAAGAGTTAGTGTATTGCGCGAACGAACGCTCTGAGATCGTGGTCAATGAATGATAAAAAAATATGTTATTTTTTGTACGTTATTACAAAGTTAAGTCGTACACTGTGTGCATTACTAATAAAAATCTTACGTTACGGACGTTTTTCCCCATTAGGGTACCCCTCCGCATTGTCCCATAAGGAACTTCGTTCCAAAACCAACAACGAATTTTCTTGAAGCGGCTCGCGAAATATTCTTCTGCACATAAGACATTAGATCTTACGTAATGGCCAACGCAATCTCAATTCCTACAAATGTGAATCCAGCGTTACATGAAAGAAACGACACGCAGGAAACCTACAAACCGTTTCACTAAAAACGTGCCCAGAAAACTCCACGAGGGATTACGAATACCTAATGCTAGATAACGTTGAATAATAAAAACCAAGACGTTACCCGTTCACATCATTCTCGACGTTGGTCCAATTGTATCTGACGTCCGACATCCGAATACAGGAGAGCAGCGCAGATTTCATTATGTTTTTATTTAATAGATTTTTTTTTATTAGTTCGATATGAGCCAACCTCTAGAACCGATGTCTCAAAGATTTGCTATCCAAAACATCGAAAAGTCCAACAATCGATTCTTATAACATAATATTATTACGTAAATATTATCGATACAGACGCCAAGGAATTATCGAAACCGACTAAAAAAAATCGTTTCACCGCTGACTGATCGAAAAAAAAAACAATAACTAAATAACATTCGTTCAAATAATTCGATATTTTTATAGATTCGTAATAGCATATCCGGATTCGACTAACATCAATAATTATGTTACCAGGCCATAGTAAAATACTTTAAAAGAAATTTATTTTATGCCATGTATAAAAAAAATTATAATTTAATATAATATGAGAAAATTTAATTTCAAACAATAAACTAATACTTTTCGAATGACGAAGCTAAATTAAGTACATTTTTTATAACAACTACGAGTACTATAATACTACCGACTTACATATTACAACATTGATAATATAAACTCCGTCCAAATGTAAATTATATTATAGTGTTTTAATGGATGCCAACTATTTGCTACTTTACAGAGAGGCATGCTATTACAGGTAGTTCTGTTTTTGTAATTGACTAAGTTTTGCTTAAAATTTACGATGAACTAACAAGATAACAATAACAGCTTAATTTACAAATTTGTTAAAAACACTTCTATGAAATTCAAAAACTATAAAACATCTTTCTAGTTCAACAAGAAGTTTCCTTCGGTTAATTTATAATTCACATTTGACGGATACAACACTAAGTTTACTAAAATATTTATATATATTATATATTACTAATACATACGAATCGTACTTCTACCCTCATTTCGAGAAAATTCATTAATTTTTTTTAAGTAATTTTATAAGTACAACACTCTTCCAGTCGTCCTTCCGTTGAATTATAACATAAATTTACTTTGAAATTAATGTAAATAAAATTCTATATATTTTTTAAAACAAAAACGACAGATTCAATTATTAGACGGAATTACAATATACATAATACTAAAACATTGATGTGTTTCCGTGATACTACTAATATGGGATTCGTACTAACTTTTTCCGTTAACATAGTCAACGTCCATTTATACGAATAAAGACCGTATTGTTAACAGTCTAACGCGCAAATTCGCATACCTTATTTGTACGCTCCACAACGTGCGTGCTCGCACGCGTTTCCGTACAGTTGCGTGTATAAAAATGTGCGTTGCATTATCCTAAATTTGGGGAAAACAATCTAAGTAATTTAAGTAATTAATTCTGTTGATGAAATTTCACACAACAATAGATATTTTGACACAATAACAAGTTTTTAGCACATTAAATCGAATACTCTAAGTTTATTAAAATCTATCTTTACATCATCACAATGCATTTTCAATTTAGATTGGGGCACGACAATCTAGTCAGACCATGTTAATTTTTATATTCGCTGAATATTTTAGTATTCTTAGGAACATTTTTTACATGAAAATTTAGGTACATAATAATTAAATAATCAAACAAGAGACAACTGACCAGTGGTGTGAAATATTCAGATTTTGAAATATTCTCTAAAAATTCAAAGTACCAAACACGTCACAATAATATTACAGATTCATATGCATAAACCACATTTCAATCGATGTCATGTAACGAAAATTTGAAACGAATTAATTTGGCACTCCCGTAGCGATTGATAAATCACACTGGATTTCAACATGAATGGAGATTCTTATAACAGTAATAACACAATAGTTATTTGTGCAACAAGAGTAGAGCAAAGTGTTTTTTTTTTGTTTCGAATGCTGATTTTGAGTCCCGAGCAAGCGAAGGATTCTATGATTGATTCACGAGCGTAGTGAGGGACTCAACAGCACGAGATGCAAAATACTTTGCTCTCCTGTTGCACACATAACTTTTCACCTCAGCAGTTTACTTAAAAGACAGAGCAATGAACAGCAATAGATTGAAATAACATTTATTATTTAATATGATTTCTTTATTAAAAATATCTTTAAAATTTTAGGGTATTATACGTTTCCGAACGTGTTTTCTTTGAGGTCCAATTCCAAAATCAAATTTCGAAGGGGTTTGTTTTTTTCACTCACTTTTTTATATGCATGTGAAAGAGATAGAGCACAGTAAAATTCGAATGTTTCAAATTTACGGTTGAACAATGTCAATTCGTGGCACTGAAGATTGAAAAATTAAAAAGCTACTTTGACGAATCAAAATCTTCTTTTGTTCACTATTGTCTCGCAGCAAAAGCAACATGTTTGAGCTGCTGAGGTGAAGAATTAATTAAACATGATTGTTAATTTAGACGAAAAAAAAAAACAACCATATCCATTGTCATTTACAAACAATTTTCTAGTCAATTTAAACGTAAAAATTTTTAAAACAAAAAACGAAAGATAAAATATAAAAAAAAAAAAATTATATATATAAAGAAGTTTGATTTTTTTTGTTTTTTTTTTAGAATTATATCTACATCATTCTATACTTTTTAGTAAGGGAAGTTAGTTTTCGTTGAATTAATACTTTTGATTACTTTATCGTGTATATTTTTGGCAAATGTGCTGGAAGAATACGTTTGTAATATTGACTATTATAGTATATACTTATAATATATTAATGTGGTTAATATTTATTGATGCGAGCACTTAATAGATAAAAGTTGATAATACATGTTATTACAAATTGCGCTAGTTTGGTGTTATATGTAAATATTATATGAACTTTTTGACGCACCGGCGTCCTAGCTGAGCAGAAAATGGTATTGTGTGCTTAGTGAGAGTTTTTTAACGTTCTCGATAGCGTAAAAGTTAACTGAAATTTGTATGCAATTGGAACAGCGCCCCTAGCGGCAAAAGTAGGCAAACCTAAATATTTAGTAAATAGGGTGATAATTTTGTTATAAACCGAACAGTTTTCCATCTAAAATACTTTTTTTTAATTAACAGACTTCATAACATAATATTCTAAGGTACCATACAAAATAAATATAAAAAGGTAGAGAAAATGTTAAATTTCATAATTTCTTGAGGAAAAATAAGTCTTAAACAAAACTTACTATAAATGACAGAAAAACTGTAATATAAATTGTAAAAATATATTATGATAAGTAGTATCTGATCAATAGCCAAGATATTTCTAGATTAATATTGACAACAATAGCTGCTCTATTTAAGTAGTTTAATGTCTAATTGGGCTTAAGTTTGAGGCCTCAACAAAACAAATTCATCATATGTGAGTGTACATTCATATAAAATTCCAGGAAGGTTCCAATAGATTATTATAATACTAAATCAAATTAATATTATATTAATTATATATACTATTTATTTATTCAAGACCTCATTTTAGAGTCAATTAATTAGAATTTTATCGTTTGGGTGTACATCAACAAACTACCCAAATCTTACTAATAATTTTGTAGAACTAATGTTTGAGATTATCATAGAACAATACGGTGTGATAGCTGTAAAGTTATTGCAACTACATATCGACGCTTGAAAGGCAAACGTGACTAAGCGACAAGGTGTGAACTTTACAGTAGACTATTTTAAAGTTGGAATTATTTTAAAATATACTAGAGAAATACCTGAAAAAAATTCTATTTTAACGAATCTAGCTGCAGGATTGAAATGATTTTAATAGACCTAGAAATATGTTTTTTTGCGCATCGAATATGGTTATTGCCTATCATTTATGTACAAAGCAGTTATTGTCGCTTAGTCACGTTTGCCTTTCAAGCGTCGATATGTATAACTGTCAAAACTAGGCGAAATTTGGCAAGCATTGGTTTTTTAAGTTCTATAGCCACAACCCCAAACAATTTAAAGTTTACTAACAAAAGATCTTCAGATTATCTTTATACTCTACTCTAGATTATTCTAGATTAGTCTGAAGTGAAGCCGCTAGAGGCGCTGCCCGCGTGCTCACCCAACGGATACTATATACAACAGAAATACATATATACGGAGAATTTTCAAAACAAAGTCATGGCTTTTATATAAACAAATAACAATAATCATAGATTATTTTCTACATAATATATGTACTCGTAAGTTATTCGAATAATTAAAAAAATGATATTTAAAATGATTTAAATGACAATTTTAAAGAATTAATTCCCGCAATGTTAAAATGTCCAAATAGTTACTAAGAATAATATATAATATCGAACAAATATTATCAACTTATATCGCATATTTGATGTACATTTGAAAAATGAAACAATTTTTTTTGATTTTTAATATATGATAAAAAAATATTTTAACGTAATTATGACGAACCAAATTGTACTTTTTTTATGTAAATCGTATAATGAATCAACTTGCGACCAGACCTGTTATACTCATTTTGAATTTGTTAAATAGTGGTTTTAGTTTTGATCTAGTAAGTTTATGTAAAACCAAACTATTATAAAATAAAAGGAATGAAATTTATTATACTTTTTGCGCACAAAGATCGTTCCATCACCAATGATGGCAAACCGTTTTTATTATTATTATTATTTTTTTTCTTTTGCAGTTCGTACTTACTCTTTGCCAATTTTTTTTTATTTTTTTTTGTTTTTATATTTGAATTTAATCGTGGCGGGTTTATGTTTGGGTGATGCCATATGTTCCGGCGGGCGGACGGTAATCGCCCGGTAGGGTCATCACTTGCTTCTTAGTGAAGGCGTATTTTCTAACACCGATGTTCTTTTGGGTGTTAGCACGGCGACAGCCCTCGCTGTAACGAACGTTTCCAATATGCTTTAATTATTAAATTAAATTAAATTTTGACATTTATTTTATATAATAGAACGTCACTAGTGATGGCGGGTGTGGTTTGAGCTTGTGTGAGTAATGAGTAGGTACCTCGATGCTATCTTTATCTTTAGCGAGAATTAAGGGACGAAAAAAGGGTTCGCATACACGAGAACACTGTACATAGCCTCACCCTCTTTGCTTTTACATTGTTTAGACGGGTGAACGAGCACACGGCCCGCTTGGAGTTAAGCGGTTCCAAATACCTCAAGAATCAGGTCTGATTCAGAATCCCATTAGAAATATGTAACTATACTTGAGACCTTAGAATTTATATCTCAAGGTGGGTGACGCATTTACGTTGTAGATGTCGATGGGCTCCAGTAACCACTTAACACCAGGTGGGCTGTGAGCTCGTCCACCTATCTAAGCAATAAAAAAAATAACATCCAGTCAATCATTTCAACAAGGCATCTCTAATGCATCCTTGATGTAGTTAATACTAGAAAACACGTTTACATTGTGATAATAAGTCAGAATTTCGTTTATAACGACCGAGTTATACTTAGTCTGGCCATAAATACTGTTACAACTAAAAATAAACAAAATATTACATTTTTTTTTTATTGCCTTTGTAGGCAGACGAGCATACGGCCCACCTGATGGTGAGTGGTTACCGTCGCCCATGGACTTCAGCAATGCCAAGGGCAGAGCCAAGCCGCTGCCTACCGCTAGTTTGACATTTGAATTTGGAATCTGTCATTTTTATATGATTGCTCATTGAGTTTTCTCATTTTGGCGCCAATACATTGTACAATATTTTGCGATATTAAAATGGAGTGGGGTGATAAAGAGAACCGAATCGCTGTGATTGCATTACACAAAGTAGGTACGGAGCCAAATGCAATTTTTAAAACTCTCCATACGCTTGGTATTAGTAAAATGTTTATGTACCGGGCTATTAATAGGTGCAATGAGACCTCCTCTGTTTGTGACAGAAAAAGATCTGGCCGTCCACGTAGTGTTCGTATGAAAAAGGTGATCAAAGTGGTAAGGGAAAGAATTCGAAGAAATCCTGTCCGAAAGCAAAAGATTTTATCTCGGGAGATGAAGATAGCACCTAGAACCATGTCGCGTATTTTAAAAGATGACTTAGGACTTGCAGCCTATAAGAGACGTACTGGTCATTTCTTAACTGATAATTTAAAAAAGAATAGGGTGGTAAAATCGAAACTGGATTCTGATTTATGGTCAGTTTTAGAGAGTACGGCTTGCTCTAAACGCCATGATAATTTGGAGTCCGTAAAACAATCCGTACGATTGGCAGTGAAATATTTTCCCATGGAAAGAGTGCGTGCTTCTATTGATAACTGGCCTCAACGTTTAAAGGACTTTATTGCAGCCAATGGAGACCACTTCGAATAAGCTTTTTATACTTTAAATTTGTTTTGTTGTTTTATATTTATGTATTAAACTAACACACTGTAAAAGTAATAAATGTTATTTGCAATAGATATTTTTTTTCCTTTGTCTCAGTATTTATGGCAATTTAGGTATATACGCGCTATGACATGTCCTTCTTCAAACAAGGCTTGTGGAGAGTATTAAGCGGTAGACAGCGGTTGGCTCTGCCCCTGGCATTGCTGAAGTCCATGGGCGACGGTAACCGCTCACCATGAGGTGGGCCGTATGCTGGTCTGCATACAAGGGCTATAAAAAATTTTTTTTTTGCAACTGTGCCATTTATTCATTACCTTCTCATAATATCAAGGGCCTTCTTCACTTCGTTCTCGGCGAGATGATACTCCGAGGCCAATATCGAACACTGTTCTAGGGTCACAGACATTCCGGTCCTATCCTTGGCGCTTTTACAGGACGTGAACCTTACGCCTATCGGAACAAAACACATTTTCGTCAAGCACGTGAAATTACAATTTAACGTTAATAACAAAAAAAAGATCTCTGTGCTAACTTAGAACAGAATAATTGAAGACATGACTGGATGAAGAGGTTAAGTAACCATATTTAAGAATTTTGAGTTTTTACATTAAATAAAGGTGTTATGTGCCTGTAAACTATATTTGACCTTAAATCACCGGGTTTAAATGCTATTTTTAGAAATTACATGTGATGAAAGAGTTATGTACGAAGAAAAAGAACAAGTAACAAAAGTTTGTTGCCAGTTTTCTTAAAATTAACAAATTGTATCATATCCCCCACATCCATTCATGTCTTTAATTATATTCGGCTACTAATCAAATTTTTTTTTTTATTGTGTATTGAGCTGAGGTATTTGTACATCAGATTGTGAACGCCATCGCGCATCTTGAGACGCGAAGAAAAAAGTCACAGTGGGATTGTTTAACGGCTCTGCTCAAGCTGGATCGTATGATCGCTTCATCATAAGAGTGACGTCACAGTAATAACAGAATCAGAGGCGACCTATGCAATCTTATGATACTACAGGTGTTTACGTAAAATTATAAATATTTCGCCTTTTTAATCACTCAATTCGACTGTATGAATTTTTTTTATGTTTGTTACGTCATAACTTTTGACTGGGTAAATCGATTTTGATGATTATTTTTTTATTAGGAAGCTGACGCTTCCCGTATGGCTCCATTTAAGTTCAGTTTTGATAGTGGTATCCATGAGAAAACCATATAACTCTTAAATTTGCATTAAGTACGTGCGCGACATATAGCTGAATAACTCAATAACTCAATATCACGCCAACCGATTTCGATGATTATTGTTTTTAGTGTATATTATATATTTGTTTTGGAATATATTTTTTTTCTATTTGAAGTCGATTTTTGTTAAAGCATGCCTATTTACAATTATTTATTACACGAAGTTTCCTTCCTTCTTCACATTCCTTCACCGTGGAAGTCGTTCGACAGAATCTGTCAAGTACGTATTTCAATAGAAAAATTGGTACCCGACTGCGGGATTCGAACACCGGTACTAATCGCATCACCCGATACTCAATGCACCAGGCGTCTTATCTTTTAAGGCACGACGACTATATATAATACGTTAGGACCAATCAAAATTGTTTTTCAAGGTCGCGGATGACCAATAAATGTACTTTTGTGTCACCTAAATTCTGATTAAAATATGCTTTACAGTTAGCGAGCTAAGGTTGATTTTCGCTTGTTTACGAAATAAGCATTACCGTTCATCTGCCTTACGGCCATCGAAGCCAGCTGTATCACCTCGTAGTTCCTTGGCACTTTTTTGTGCACCGAGATCCTAAGGTTCTCCATTACCTCCTCCAACGGCTTCGACCTTGAAGACGCTGTAATATCAAATCACACGTAAAACATGATCAGCAAGGAAGTCTCTGGTAATTTTATTTAAAACTTCAAAAAGTACATTGTAACGAACCAAGTTTTTTTTTTAGATGCATTGTCGAGCTCGCAGCCCACCTGGTGTTAAGTGGTTACTGGAGCCCATAGACATCTACGACGTAAATGCGCCACCCACCTTGAAACATCAGTTCTAAGGTCTCAGTATAGTTACGACGGCTACCCCGCCCTTCAAACCGAAACGCATTACTGCTTCACGGCAGAAATAGGGTGGTGGTACCTACCCGCGCGGACTTACAAGAGGCCCTACCACCAGTATGCCTACCTTCCGTATATAAACATATCAAAATACGCAAAACTCACGCTTCCTGAATGTCATCACGCCTCTAGTGATGGCGACCAGATCCTGCGGGAAGACCTTGCAGAACTTGTGGTAGTACTTGTTGAGGCGGTCCAAGTTATCGCTGTTCGAGTGGTACTGCGGTATCGTTTCGCCGAGGGCTTCGGCCAGCGACGCCTTCTCGTTAATGCCGATGTTGAAGAACACCGCCGTTATTGTGAACGAAAGATGCTGAAAGGAAATATGCTTTAGTCTGTCTTCGCACTATACTGTGTCCTTAGTGGGAGTTTTTTAACTTTTCGATCGCGTAAAAGTTAGCGGCAAACGAAGGGAAACTGTTCCAACTCCATCATACAAATTTGAGTTAACGTTTACGCGATCGAGAAGTTATAGTGCTAGTCACCTCCTGAGGTATGTGGCAGGGTGAGACAGAGGAGGGCGCGATTGACAAGACGCACACGATATTATATTTAAGTGCAGATAAATCTTAGAATAACATGTTAGAATTAATGTAATGGGTACCTAATTGTAATATTGTATTTTTCTATTTCCTGGTTAAACAAAAAATGCATATTCAAAAGTGTTTATTATATTTTATTATTTACGATACAAAACAATTTTATAAGCAAATTAACATTTCTTAAAAAAAAAAAAAAAAAAAAAAAAGAAATAATCAATAGTAAATAAGGTAGATAATTAGGTACAAAGAGTAATATACATATGTATTTATATTTAAATATATACTTATCAATATGTTTGTCACAAGAATAATTCCCAAATCGTTTGCTCGGCTCAACAGTCCAAATATGTCGAAATAACACAACTATTACCACTAGTGCGGATTATAAATTATCTATCATGAATTACATGTTACTCCTATTTCGACGAACACTACCAATAATTATGAAATCTTCTAATCTTTTAAGTTTTAATAATAAAAGTAAATAATAGTTTAAAAAACTAACAAAGTAGGTACGCTTTTATAGAAAATCCAACTAAAAAATAGAAAATAAATTTTAATAAATTTTAATTAAAAATAATATAAGAAAAAATAATTTTATTGTAAAAAAAGCGTGGGGTGCTTTTCAGGATATTATCAAAATAACCCTTCTACTCATATCTGTTCATAAATTTTTTATAACTACTGATACCATGCACCCCAAGTTTTTTTTACAATAAAGTCATTTTTTCTTACACTATTTTTATGTAAAATTTAATTTTCATTTTTTAGTTGAATTTCAAATTTTTCATTTTTTTTATTTTTTATTTTTTAATATTGTATTGTCGTCGGTCCTTAATAAGTATACTAAATTTTGAATCAATCCGACGTTTTGAAGGGGGTCATAATCATGTTCAAAGATTCCGTTACAAACATACATACGTCTGAAGCTAATAAAAGCGTATTAAAAGTAAGCTCCAATAGTCGGTACAGACTCGAAAAAAAAATCACTATTACCTCCTTCACGTCAAACTTCGAGTACAATGATTCCGACACTGGTAATTTAACCACCAATGCACCTCTGGCGCCAGTCACTTGAGGTACCGATGGATTACTAGGAAATTAAAGAACAATAATTAGATCATCCACGTTCCAATTAGAATCCATATGGGTAATAGGATAAGTAAGATAGTACTTGGTAAAGTTCAGGTGTGCACGCAGACGGCTGCTAACTGATTTTGCTTTACATTACAGGTTTGGGGGGTTTAACGACAAAAGGAAGATCTTCGACAGAGCAGATGAAATTGCTCGGTAGACCTTTTTTTCTTACCTAAGCTTTAAGCCTTGAGAGACGCGACTTGCGAGACTATGTCAGCGTAACGGGGCGAGTAGGTGAGCTCTTGGGTCCCAAACCGGGAGCGTTGCTAACGCTGGTCCTAGCAAGAGCAGTGCTTCGCAAAATCTACCACCGGATCGGAAACGCGACCCACTGAGATGATCCGACGAGAAACTCAGTGAGCTGTGTCTATGGGTTAGTTTTCTCGTCGAGCCCTTCGTCGCAAGCGATCGGTTCGGCGAGGACGGTGACCGGCTCGGTAGACCGATGATCCAAATGTTGTTCGGAACTTGTATATATCGAAGCTTATCTTATAAATGTCGTGAGCGAGATTCAGACATCTCTCAAATATCTTATGCTCTATGATGCCAACTATCCAAATTCACTGTGCCCCACAATCTCTTTAACCCACCACTGACGCCGGGGTCAAAGTTCAGTCGCCAATGGCCACAAACAAACAAACGAAAGCGCACAACGGGCGTTCTATAACGACGTTATATCTGTAAAACTTTATATTTGTTACCGAATCACTCAAAAACGGCAGACAAAATAGGCAAAGACACGTGTCTATTTTAATTGTGCTCTGATTTAACTAAGTTTTTCTTGTCTGTTTGTTAACAGATTTTGTTATTTTAGTGACTATTAAAATCAGACCATTTTTTCAATCACACCCTCAAAAATGGTTAATAAAAATTTTAAGTGAAAATTTAACGCATAAAATGAATTTAGATCTTTAGGCATCTCAGTTAGTATGATCTAATTTCAAAGGCTGGTCGACACTCGTTACTATAGTATAGTTCGTTCGCGCATTGTATTAAAGGCTAGGCTATACCAACTTACCCGTGCCCGACTTTACACAGTTGAAAGACGACCGTCTGAAGATCTTCAACGGCCACGACCATGTCGCCCCACATTGCCTTCTCATTCGAATACAAACTGAGGAGACCCTCGAATCCACAGAGAGGGCCCAAGCCTGATGACAACAGCTTGACTACCACATCGCTGGGTACAGAGCATAACCAGCAGAGCAACCCTGACGTGACAGTCGTCAACTGAAATATAAAACATTAACTGGTTTCGAAACTTTGAATTTTATAGGATTCTCATTTTACAGAAGGACAACGTGTACTTTGAAATTCAAGTCCTGTGTGCTTAGTGCGAGTTTTTTAACGTTTTCGATCGCGTAAAAGTTAACTCAAATTTTTAAGGAGTTGGAACAGCGCCCCTAGCGGCAAACGTAGGGAAACTGTTCCAATAGCACACTGGATACAGGCACCTTCAAAGTAAACAGAAAACTGATTATAGGGCGTATTAACGTTACCCCGTACGGGTAGGTAGCGCTAACTTGCCTATTTCCGCCGCAAAGCAGTCATGCATTCGGATTTGAAGGGTAGATCAGTCGTTATAAATTTAGATTTCATGACTTAATGCGGATGGTGGGGTTCACATTATGATGTCTTTTTTGTTTTGACCGAGGGATTATTGGTGGCCCAAAGGCCTTTCCAGTTTCAACAGGAGTGGGTGGGATTTGCTAACAGCTGCCCGAGCGCCTCTAAAGGAGACCTAACAACTCAAGAACAATTGCTTCGCGAATGAATCTAATACCGGACCGTAATCGCGACCCGCTGAGAAGATCCAGCTAGGAACTCAACGGGCTGATGCATGGGTATTATGATATGTAAGGGTTTACTTAGCACCGTTGATCGCTCGTTTACGTCAACACGCGTGACAACGCCTTAAAAATGATCTTTTAATGAGTCTCGCATATCCCCGTCTGATGATATCTTCTGCATCCTCCAAGATTCTTTAACGCAGTTCGTCAACGTTTATGTTAAGCCCTCATAAACTTTCAAACTCATCACAAAATCGGAGCAACGCTTACGGCCTGAGAGAAACAAGTGTCCCTCCTGGTTTGGAGGACGGCATTCTCGCGCGCCCACAGCGGAGCTTCGCAGCGGAGACGCAGGGCGGCGTGAGACACGCGCAGCCAACGCGCAGCGCCGTCCACGTTCTTCTTCAGCAATTCAGCCTGAGCTCTGATAACGTCCATCTGCTCTTCGGTGTGGTCTCCTGGAATGTTTTAATAGATCATGAAACCCCCGCCCAAAAAAAAACCTTACATAGAAAAACACAAGGTCTAAATTTGCTAGAAAATTTTGATGACATAGCCGATGGTTACCGCTCTATCCGTAAGTTTGGGGCTTCGCAGCAACGGTTGCACTTTAGAGGACATATTATAAATGTTATTTAAATAGTAACCGGAATGACTCTTTGAACCTCATTATCCAAAGAGAAGAGCATATATTGGAATACCACTGTTCCATCCCATTTTCCCAAGGGAAAGCATCCATCAGGAATCACATGATGCACATTACCCGTGTTGCAAAAATCCCACCAGCATTCGTCGTAAATTCATTACAACAAAAAGCTACTTTTACGGTTTAAACTCGCATTTTTTATTATCATTATATTATTTCAAGCGTTTCGAATACTTTAAAGTAATTACGGTACAAATGAATTTTTTTATGTCTATTTAAGACTCGCGAAGAAAACGCTTTTCATTGAGAGCTATTCGTTCGACAATAAGTTATTATCGTTATTCCGTTAATAAAGTTAATAATCTTATTATAGTAGAGTAGAAACCGGTATAACAACTCACCATTCGCAGTTCGGATTATTTCGACAACGAACCGAATCAGCGAAGCCAACGCTTCCTCGATTGCTGTTCCGACGGCCTTCAAGTACGCAAAGTTGTTGTCTCTGGTCGTCTGATCCAGAGGACTGACGTCGTCCAGTGCGTCCGATATACCTTGAGGCGTCTACGAAGAAATCGATCTTTCATGTGTTTGTTCGTAAAACGTTAGCCCTACCAGTTGAATTAAATATTAAAAATAATACGAAAACACCTACACATATTACACTATTGCACACTAAGTTTCGTGTTGACGATGATTTATGTATAATACAATTTCAAAGACAATTCTCTAATAGATTTCATTGTAGAGCACATGCGAGATTTTACAACGTGTCATCAAAAAAATATTGCTTGTAAAACTAGTTCATGCTACAAAGTATTTTGACTGTGCTATCAATTTGTAAGTAGGTCGAGCAATTTTTGCCTATCAATATATTAGTATTTTGCCGACCTCTAATACCTTACAATTTCTATTCGCATAGCTAGTTCGTTTATTGTACGTTCGTTTATTACACTTTTGAAGTGCTCAGCACTTTGGCTTAAAAAGAAAACAAACAGAAAAAGAAAAAAGAAATATCTCTTTTATTTAGCATTTTTTTTCATATTTTTAGAGGATTTATGTTTAATTATTAAACATTTTCGTAGTTTACAAATGAATTCAATAGAGAATTGAAACAACACAGTTCTACTTCAAATTAATTTTGTATTCATGTAAGCACACTAGATTCGCGAGAGCATGCTGCATTTCACAACGCTACATAAAACAAGATGCATGGTCACAAACAAACATGTGGGAATAACTTGAATGTTCGGAAAAGCAAACTTTATTGAAAAACGAAGGAAAACAAAACAAAGAGCATTAACAATCACAAATTTTAATGAAACAGGACAATTCTAAACTCAGGGAGTAAGTTACGGAACTGCGGTAACGTACCTTCCTCTTATCGACTTTGTTGTTATTAACGAGGCATCGATAAGAGACCTGCTCCAGCGAGGCGGAACTCTTAAAGTCATATCTGAGGCTACCGTGCCTCGTCTTAGTCGAATCGAGCGAATGACTCGGTTCGGTCGTTTTCGCTGAACGAACTGAACGGAACGAATTATTTAGACTGATCCGTTCTTCTCTCTCGGTCTTGAAGTAATCGTTGTGGAACTGCAGTTCTTCTTCGATTTCTTCGGATATTGGATTCTTTTTGTCGCAACTCATGCTCGGTTCGCTGGTACATGTCGACGGGTCGTCTTCAGTGGGCGAGGCCTCCTTCGAGCTGGAGCTAGACGAAACGTCCAGGGTTTCGCAGTCCGAATTGACGGCTTCGAACAGGTTCATCTGTTCCGTCAGACGTAGGATCGTGGACATTGTCTGTAAGGAGCCGATTTATGGGAAAATTTAATCTATTACTATCTCTAGGGCCGATTTACTTAGATCACGTGCAATTTTTTTTTTTTAAATGTCTCTTTCGATCTATTTGTCAAATATCATGACTACCTTCGCCCGCATTAAAACATGAGATTGAACTCTGAATCGCCTTCCGGCCCACAATCCATTAGGTCTACGACTAAGAGTTAATTTTAAAGAGTTAAAAACAATAATTAATTTTGATGAAATAATTGTGTGTCTATCTGACCTGCCCGTCGGATTCGTCGTAACCATAATCTTTCGGCCACCCGATGTAAGACAGCGTCTCCTCCACGGCTGTCGGGTCCCACAATGCGAGAATGCTCTTCGCCTTGTTCTTAATGCCTGTGATCAAAATTCTTATTTAAATACTCGATACTAAATGCTACTTTACTGGTGGTAGGACCTCTTGTGAGTCCGCGTGGGTAGGTACCACCACCACCATGCCTATTTCTGCCGTAAAGCAGTGACGCGTTTCGGTTTGTAGGGTGGGGCAACCGTTGTAACTATACTTGAGACCTTAGAACTTATATCTCAAGGTAGGTGGCGCATCTACGTTGTAGAAGTCTATGGCTCCAGTAACCACTTAACACCAGGTGGGCTGTGAGCTCGTCCACTCCTCTAAGCAATAAAAAAAAACTTAGAAAAACTCAAATAGTAATTTAACTTTTATTCTGTGAGTCGGACGGAAGGTCTTTCGGTCCACTAGGTTTTAAATTGTCACCGCAGCCCGTAAGGCATAAGGTAGAAGTTCCAAATGTATCATTATTCCATTTGAGTTTTTGAAACAGGTATGCATCACGATATGGCCAGGACGACATGACCGGTACGAGCTGATGCCGGTTTGATTTCTACTACACACCGCGCCTTCACTATGGGTCATAAGTAATATAGCATATAGTATTTTCATAAAAAAACTGTCACCAGTCATGACTTTAGTCTTGGTCTGAATCAAAAAATATTGTCTTTTGAAATTCATGAAGATACTTTAAATTGGCTTTTATTTTATTATTGTACGCTGTCTGTTAGTTTCGTGATAAGTGACTTTTACTACAGTTATTCGAGACACGAGATCCATTGTTGAAGTTTATCGTATCCTTCCAACTGGAGAATTACTCCAAACTTCAAATCACCAGAATCTTTCATTCGTCCACCTTTCATACCGGTCTCCATCCAATCGAATTTCTCGCCGATCTTCTCAGTGTGTCGCAATTTCGATCCACTGTTAGATTCTGCGAAGCATTGCTCTAAGATTGAGCCTGTGAATTAATCTCGTCCACGCGTAGCTGGAATAGCCTTTTATGCTGCTCGAGAATAGGTAGGTAAAAAAATCGGTCACCACACTCGTGCTCACCGTCCAATATGGCTTGAACTTCTTCGATCTGCTTTGCCTGAAGCAGCATAATGATCCTGTCCATGTCGCCGGACAGTTCGTCTCTCAGACGCCGCAGAGCCACCACGTTGTCATATTCGACTTGTATCTTATTGGTAATAGATTGCAGCTCGGCTTTGCTGCTATTAATGTCTTTGACGTGTTGGACCAGCCTGCGTGATAGAAATTAATCAACTAACATCCACAATAACTTTCAGCTTTAGCGACATAAATTACAAAATAATAGAGTACTAAAATCAGGTCAGTTACGCAAACTATCACGATCCGAATATCAAATTTGATATCTTCACGATATGATTTTAATAGCAAAACCAAAACTAAGGTGTATCGTTGCAATAACCTGATCAATCCTCCAGATCGCTCTGTCTTATGAGTGTGAGCGGCAAAAGCTCCGGCAGTTACAATGTCATGGAAGCCGGTTTTGTTCAACGTGTCATTGTGCACCCACATACGTTGCAAGTGCAAGTTAACCGGCGCGAACTCTAAACTAGCGTCATCTGAAAACAGATCGTATAAAAATCCATAATATCTTTACACAACTAGCCTTTATTTTAAGATATACCCAATTCATGTTTTCTTGAAGCCACGACCACAAGTCATTCGATAGGACCAGGCTATCTAGCCATTTCTATCAGTGCTATTGTAATTAAAAAACATCGATGTCAAAAAACTTTGACTTCGCCACAAAGCTTACGATTTCTTAATTGAATTCAATAGCAATACCTCTGATCTATTACATTTTTTTATGATAAAGAATAAATAAAAAAAAAAAAAAAAAAACCGAAGTATTTTATGATTTAAGTTTTTCGACGCTAAAGATTAACTATTATCGGTCAAAGTTAGCAGACTACAAAGTGGCGATACCCACGTTGTAAAAAAACCCTTATGCCATTTCCAATGCTCCTAAATTTTCAATTAAATTCTAGGGTATAATTTGTCCCGACATCGTTATGTACCGTTACCCTGCTAATGTCTGCCGCGTAGCCACACTTCCCGGTTTCAAGGGTGGAATAGCGATTATAATCTACAAATGAGACTTAGACCGTATGTCGAAGGTGACCGGCGACATGCGCTATGTGATATCTATGGGCTCCGATAACCAATCTACACCAGCGGGCCGTGAGCTCGTTCAACTATGTACGAAAATAGAAACAATCATAACATATTGGACGCCATGACAGACACCACCTGTCCAATACTATACTTTCTCCTAGGGCCGCACTACTATATCAAGAATCGTACAAAAATCGTTGAGGTAATATATTTTTTGCAAATATTGACAAGAAATGACTGAAAAATAATAGGAGACATAAGGAAATCGTTTTTTTTTATTGCCCTTGTAGGCAGTCGAGCATATGGCCCACCTGGTGGTGAGTGGGTACCGTCGCCCATGGACTTCAGCAATGCCAGGGGCAGAGCCAAGCCACAGCCTACCGTTTAATACTCTCCACAAGCCTCGTTTAAAGAAGGACATGTCATAGCGCTCGGGAAACACTATTACTACTCATTATTTTCCGATAGATGTCAAATGGCAGACTAGGAAGTCCGATGTGGCCTATTGGACTAAACATGGTTTTCTAGTCTGACGTTCAACGTGTTAAATTGAGAAAAACTGCTAATTTTGATAAAAACGCCAAACATTAGTATTACTTCGATGACATTTTAAAACAACGTCCATTATCAGTTACCCTTGCGACAGCTAGCCTTGAAATAAACGTCGTCAATGCTCTCCATACACTTCTTGGCGTGTCCGTAGTGCTTCAGCAGACCGACGTGGTTGCTGACTAACTCCAGCTGCCGGTTCTGCCACTGGCTACAGATCTCACCGACCGAGAGCAATTCCTCTAGCAGCTCTCGTTCGCGTTCAATATAAATGTTCCTAAACGATATAAATTGATTTCATTTACCACAACCTAAACGACTCAAGCAGCGCGAGGCATCAATTAATAACGAGCGGACGCTTATCGTGATATGGACATTTGATGCGTACAGAGAAGATGCATGTGACTAAGAGATGTATGGAAATGGTAGTGCAAGATAGAGGAGAAAGAAGTCGACCGAAGAAGTCATGGATAGAGTGTGTGAATGACGATATAAGAGAGAGAAGAGTGAGTGTTGTGATGACGGCTGACCGAAAAGAATGAAAGAGAAAAAAAACCTAGTGGGATACATTGAAGAAAAAGAAGAAGAATCGCGTATGTACTTACAACAGTTGGACCGGCATCGAGAAGCAAATCTTCGGTTCCGTCATGATTTCGTGGACAGTTATGTCGCCACCGAGGCCCGATTGGAACCTGTACGTCACTTGGTGGCTGTTCAGGAAATTCTGCTTGATCAACGATCCATACGAGGGAAACTTGAGTTTCAAGCCGAGACGTGGCGGCAGGGATTGAGACCTGCGGTGGCAGAGTACCTTTTGCGGTATCTCGATGCTCCTGTCGTTGCTGTGGACTGGACTGGTGCCTGTGTAAGACGGCTCCAGACTCCAGCCGTTCAAGGTGACGAAACCGATCGTCTTCTCCTCTTTGGTGCAAAGGGACACGCGCAGCCTCTGGGCTTCCTGTTTATGGAAACTTCAATAGTAACATATCTCCATATTGCAACTTGACTGTCTTCTAAGGAACGAATGAAATGAAACCGAATAATTTGAAAATAATAACAATTTATTATAGAACTACAATTAACGACATCTGTACATGATACTAACTCATTAAAAAAATCGCGTATAACTGAAAAACGTTTATTAAAATTAAAACTTAATCCTTTTCTATATCTTAATTTGGCAAATCTCCAATTTGGATGCAGAATGTGATTACTAATTTCTGTGAATGAAACGGTTTTCGTCTGCTACCATAACTGTCTTTGTGTGTCCACTGCCTATTATTATCTGAGCGCGGCTGATTATCTAATAATCCCCCCTATAGCGCGGTTGGCTCCGCGTTATAGGAAAAAGCCAATTATGAACTGTAGAAATCATTATAAATGTCACAGGACAGAAATATGTATACATATATGTAAATCCCCAGTTTATATCCCCGTGTTATACGGGGTTTGAAATCGCGTAATATGAAAACACGTTATAAGGGTACCGCGTTATAGGGGGGATTACTGTATACATTTGATTAAATGTCTTAAGACTATTATACCTGTATCATGCTCAGCTTCATACTGGTGAAGCCCATTGGCACGGTGGTGTCCGATACCGGTTCCTTGACATCGTAAACCACGAGCCGAATCATGGTGTCGCCGTTCAGACCGTCGCTGGCCCGGAACAGAATAGTTTTCGAAAAACTCGGGTTACTACACATCTGTAATGGAGTAATGCGCTTAATAAGAAGAACATGTATTTACATCTTTTTTTTTAACCTACCTCTGCTGATAGCCTTGAGAGGCCATTTCAGCGTAACCCTAAGAAGTAGGTGAGCTCAGGGGGCTCTAACCTGACGACGTTGCTAACACTAATCCTAGCAAGAGCAGTGGCTTCGCAGAATCTACCACCGGATCGGAAACGCGACCCATGAAGAAGATCCGGCGAGAAAGTCAGTGGGCTGTATCTATGGGTTAATTTACTCGCCGAGCCCTTCGTCGCAAGCGATAGGTTCGATGGGAACGGTGAACGGCGCTTGAGGTACCTAAAAGCACCGTTAGTGAATCGGAAGGATCCGATGTAACATCTTCATTTGAATATATATCTAATCTTTATTGAATTAAAGTTCAAAACTGACTGACTATTAAACTGTAAACGGAAGCCATAAATAAAAGAGGACAACACCATGCCATGTTACTACTACATACTATTACTACCTTTACTGTACGAATTTACAAAATGTAATTACGAATCATTTAGAAGTACCACTCAAATTTCCATTTACATAATGGAAACGTGAACCTCACCTCTACCACCTCAGTAGAACCGTATTCAATGCAGGGTCCCTTCGGATTCTTCGCATAGATGACTACCATGGGCGAGGGAGGCTTGCCGTGAGCGTCGCAGAGCAAGTTGTCGCAAGACAGCGCCAACTCACAGATCGGTACCTCGTTCATGTCTACGAAAAGATTTTCAAAAACATTACGGTCAATTGGTTAATATGTCGCGTGCGTGGACGACGGTAACCCCTTCATACGAAGAATGCGGCTTCAAAAAAGGAGGAACTTCTCGATTCCAGTGTTTGTGTGTGTGTGTCGTAGAAACTTCTTTCTAGGTCAACCGATTTTGATGATTCTTTATTTATTTGTAACGCGTGTTTCTCATATAGTCGCTTTTATTATCAATATCTGACCAGAAGTTTTTCGAGTAGCCTTTAATAAGGCATATTTATAAAGTTACATATGTATTATTATACAAGGCATATTAGTAGACTCTGTAAAATGAATGAAAAAAGTGGAAGTGGGCCGGCCACATATGCCGTCGCACTGACAATCGGTGGGGCACAAAAGTACTGAAGTGGACACCTCGTACTGGACGTCGTAACGTGGGCAGACAGCCAACGAGGTGGACCGATGACCTGGTCAAAGTGGTCGGTAGAAAATAGATGAGAAAGACAAGAGACCAAAGAGAATGGGGTGCATTCGAAGAGACCTACACTCACCATTGGGTGGACACGGATTGAAGAAGAGAAAATGAAAAGTTTTTTAAAGTAAATATGTACATTTGCACCTATTCGCACCTATTATAGACATATCATCTTGTCTGTAGTACCTGGTGTTAAGTGGTCAGTGGACATCTACAACGTAAATGCGCCACCCACCTTGAGATATAAGTTCTAAGATCTCAGTATAGTTACATTTTTTTCTTTTTTGCTTAGATGTGTTGACGAGCTCACAGCCCACCTGGTATTGAGTGGTTACTGGAGCCCATAGACATCTACAACGTAAATGCGCCACCCACCTTGAGATATAAGTTTTACGATCTCAGTATAGTTACAACGGCTGCCTCGCCCTTCAAACCGAAACGCATTACTGCTTCACGGCAGAAATAGGCAGGGCGGTGGTACCTACCCGTGCAGACTCACAAGAGGTCCTACCACCAGTGAATATGGTGTCAAACATAACACATATCTGTAATTTTTTGATTATTAATACGCTTATCAAATTAGAGTTTCTTAATAGTTAATTTTGATAATTTAATTTTTTATAAAACCCTTTTGACACGAACTACGTAATATGCGTTTAATTTTCGCTGTCAAATTTCCCACCAGGTTTCTAAAACTCAGCAGCGTCCACATTATATTACAATTAAATACGAAATGCGTTTTTCATTAATGAAATGCGATACGTATATTAAAATAATTAAACGTTTTCACGGATATCTGCAATTGTTGCAATGATTTATATTTAATAGCAATATTTAAACTACTTTCGGTTTTTTTAATGTCTGATGGTACTAAATTTTATTACAAGGCCTCGTCCTATTCCGACTATTGAAATCGTAAATCTTAATTTATTCAACGAAACATTACCAATACCAACTACGGAACTAAAGCGTAATCAATAAAATCCGAATGGCAGAATCGAAGCAAAAAAATTTAAATTTCAAATTTTAATTTTTTTAATTTCATACCCAAAAATTTAGCGGTTTAATTTATTTAATTACAATTGCACCTTTGTTTGTTCGAAACATTAAAACGACGGATGACCTCAATGCGTAGATAAAGACAAGATAAAGACGCAACATTATTATGTTAGCGTTATTAATTAATTTCAAAGAAGCTCACCGACAAAGATCCCCTTCTGCAGCCTGTAGTTGGTGATGTCGATGACTGGCCGAATGGCGTTGAGTCGGTCCTTCAAATCTTGAACTCTGGAGTGCATGTTGTCGTAGGAAGCTAACTGTATCGCTTTCAGCCAAAGAGTGCGCTCGGTCTCAAGAAATGTCGCCATTCTGTAACTGACTCCGCTGTCCCACACTGGAAAAGTGCTGACATCTACGTTACATAGATAGAGCAAAGACCGTTGTTCACACGCATTCTGTTTGTTCGTGTTAGAAACTTTTTTTTGTTTTCTTTTTTTGCATCAGCATTTTGTTTTTTGGACGTTGCATTATCTCTGTTTTTGTACGTTTTCTTGCATGCTAACAAAGTTTGTTGACCGCGCTAGTAAAAATCTTTATTTATGCATTTTTTTTCGTGTCATCACTATTTGCGATTATGAAACAGATATAAATACTGTATTAATTTTAGAACTTTATATACACAAAAAAGTGTATTTTTTTTTGCCCTCAAACACAATTTTATATTTTAATAAAATGAGAAACGGACAAAGCCACGGGTAAAACAGAGAGTAACGATGCAAAAAAAGACTATATTGTCGGTCACTTTGAAATGTACGCCGCCTGTAGTTTCAATTTTACACTGTTGCGGGCAAAATGATTGCAATACGATACTTCCTCGTGATACTACAGAATAATATTTGTTTGAAGTTACCTATTATTCGCAAAATATTGAATTGTCCACTATCAAAGGAAATGTTCGTTACAAATAATGTTTAATAATCTAGATACAATTGGGCAAAAACAAAACATTAAAGTCAATTTTTTTCCACTATATTTCAAGCCTTTTTCAATTGTAAAAAAAATTATCGTATTTTCTTATCGTTTCATTAAAAAAAAAACATGTTATTCTAAAAATGTTGTCCAAAAGGAAAGAGTTTAGAAGAAATTCTAGACATCAATAGAATATTTAAACGAGAACGGTCAGAAGCGATCATTAGTTTAAATAAAATATGATTTCACAGCGTATTATAATACTCTTCAAAGTGTCCCACGGGAAACAAAGTTGTTATCAACGTATAAATAGGATCCTTCAGACGACTCAGCAATATCATGTAGCAGCAAAATCTTCATGTTACGTTTACGACTTAATTAAAACCTTTTTGTAATAATAAACTAAAAAAAAATATCGAGCGTTGCTACGTGAGGGGGCCCATGAACAAATAATGTGTTTAATATGGTTACTATCGTATTATATTTTTAGGTAGATCATTGTTTAGATGGTAACTTGTGGAAAGTGTATATGTGTACTTCAAAAAATCTTAATTTCTCTCACAAAATGCGTCTGCGTCATAAATTAAAAAACAGAATATTTTTTTTAATGAATTACATCAGAATATCTAAGTTACTGTTTACTTGACAAGTTTCGTTGGAAAAAGTGAACTGACTATTCTTTTGGGCTAGAAGGATTGTTGTTAGGCCAGAGGCTTTTCTAACTTCTCCAGCAAAGGTGGCCGAACACGCCTTTTTTTATTGCTTAGAAGGATGAACGATCTCACGGCCCACCTGGTGTTAAATGGTTACTCGAGCCCATAGACATCAACGTTATTCCGCCACCCAACTTGAGATATGAGTTTTAAGATCTCACTTTTAACAGTACAACGGCTGCCCCGCCCTTCAAACCGAAACGCATTACTGTTTCGTGGCAGATATAGGCAGGGTGGCGGTACCTACCGGTGCGGACTCTAAAGACATCCTACCACCAGTAATTACGCTCATTATAATTTAGCGGGTTTAATTTCTATTACACGATGTTATTCCTTCACCGTGGAAGTCAATCGTGAACACTTGTTAGATGCTTATTTCATTGGAAAAATTGGTACCTGCCAGTGGGATTCGATCACCGATACATCGCTACATACGAATGCACCGGACGTCTTATCCTTTAGGCCATGACGACTTCAAACTACTTCTTGGCTCAGCCCAGAGTGGTGGAGTTTGGTGACAGCCGTCTGAGCGCATCTAGAGGAGACCTAGCATCTCGAGGGCAGTTTTTTTTTTATTGCCCTTGTAGGCATACGAGCATACGGCCCACCTGATGGTGAGTGGTTACCGTCGCCCATGGACTTCAGCAATACCAAGGGCAGAGCCAAGCCGCTGCCTACCGCTGTTTCTCATATAAATACCTATTGGTTTGCCAGAATTCGTAAAACTTGTGTTTGTGTTCCCAGTCTCACTTTTGTGATATAATAATCCGTGACGTTATCAACTATTGTTTTGATGGAGCAATGCAGAGGTGCGACACGGTTCATTAGTACGCTCGACACAGGCTCTATGCCCTTCCCAAAACATCGTTGCTTTAGCCCGAATACGGCTATCATTCGATAATTCAATCGTGAGATACAATTGTTTCGCTAAATGATCTCTACGATCGAAACTTATTCGAATTAGGTCGACTGGCAGATTGGCTTTTTGGGTTGACGAGCTCACTGCCCACTTGACATTAAGAGGTTACCGTAGCTCATAGACATTAACAACGTAGATGCCGCCACCCATGTAGAAACCTGATTTCTAAGTCTCAGTTTTATACTATAGTATAGGTTTGTATTTCTAAAATAATACAGCAATCGGTAACCAAAAAAATATTGAGAGAGTATTTGACACGTCAGAAATAACATAATAGCAATTAAAAAAGCGAAACTAAGCCGCGGCATTATTTTATTTTATATTTAGGTAAATTGGTGTTTTTTTCCACTACATGTTCCTAAACCATTCATCTAACTGTGATGAAACTTGGTACGGTCATGACAACCATATCAGGGAAGTTTTCTGTCATACTATCACCGTACAGCACGTGGTGGCAACAAATGAGTTTCCATCTCTCCATACAGAAGAGGGACGTTCGGATTGTCAATAATCCCATTCTCACGGATCGTTTGGAGCCTCTGGGTCTGCAGAGGCACTTCGGTTCCCTCTGTATTTGTACCGTATATTCCATAGGGAGTGCAATGAGGAATTATTTGAGAAGATACCATCGCACTGCCCGCCACCGGAGTAGAGTTCGTCCATACTACCTGACGCCACGGCGGTCATCCACAGGGCATTTCCAGAGATATTTTTGCCACGTACAATCTGGCTTTGGAATTAGCTACCCTCCACGGTGTTTCCCGAGCGCTATGAGATGTCTGTGTGATATTGGACCGACGGTCCGATGTTTTTTTTTCCTACCTAAGCTGATGGTCTTGAGAAACCATATCAGCGTCACAGGGCGAGCAAGTGAGCTCAAGGGGCTCAAACCTGACTTTGAAGACGAACCCTAGCAAGAGTCGTCGTGCTTCGCAGAATCTACCACTGGATCTGAGCGCGACCCACTGAGAAGATCCGGCGAGAAACTCAGTGGGCTGTGTCTGTGGGTTAATTTACTCGCTGAGCCCTTCGTCGCAAGCGACGGGTTCGACGAGAACGATGACCGATGCTTGGGGTACCTAAAAGCACCGTTAGTGAATCGGGAGGATCTGAAATGACTTGTTTTGGGCGACGTCGACTCTATCATTCGGTATGCAGGATCCAGGATGTAGTTACCGGCGGCCACGATGAGAGGGTTCTCGTGTCGTGCCGCTTTATCGAAATGTCCGAATATCTTTTTTTTCTTACCTATGCTGATGGCGTTTTATCAATATGGCACATTAATACCGACTGTAGATAGTTACTAATGGACTCTAGGTCCAGATCGTCGTGAAGGTCGACGTTCCTGACGAACTACGGGGCTACGACGGCTATCCTGCAAAAACAGGATTGAATGGTTTGAAGGGGTTTCAAGTTTGTGCGGGCCGCGTGAGCGAACACTAAACTTGCTTAAGTCATGAGTGGGCGGCGTATGCAAGTTTTGTAGAGTGTCACCTTATTTCTAAGGGACAATTTACTTCGCTTGCAAATCATCGGATAGAGACGTCCTAGTACAAACGCGTCTCGGTCGCGTACCGTCTTTATGTGGGGGCGGAATGTCATTTGTCGAGAGTGGCGCCTAATTTGACCTTCGGGGCCCACGGTATGGGTTGGTTGTACATGATTATGGAGCGAATGGCGGAGGTATTGACGCGCCTATTCGGGAGTGGGATGCTCGAAGTGGTGTTCAGAGGGCGACCCCTTTCGAAGAGCACCGCTATGCTTTTCGTGGAGTTGATGTCGATGCGCCACTCCCAAAACCACAGTCCCATGGTGGTTGCTGCGGTCTGAAATTGCCGATGCAATAACGACTTCTTCCTACACGAATAGTACATAGCCGTGCCATCGGCGAAGAGCGCTAGATGGGTCTCTGGAGACCGGGGTATATCGTTGATATACAAACTAAGTAGTAACGGAGAGAGGGCGAAGCCTTGCGGGACTCCGGCTGTTACTTGATGGGGGCGAGAGCGCGTTCCCTCAACTCGATATCGGAACGAACGGTTCGACAAGTAGACTCGTATGATAAGCACTCGAATGTTGTTGTTCGGAACTTGTATATATGCAAACTTATATTGAAAATGTCGTAAGCGAGATTCAGGCATCTGTCGAATACCTTGTGTTCTGTGATGGCTATTCTTCAAGTTAGGCTTGTGGAGAGTATTAAACGGTAGGCAGCTGCTTGGCTCTGACCCTGGCATTGCTGTCGTTCATAAGCGACGGTAACCACCCACCATCAGGTGAGCTGTATGCTCGTCTGCTTACACGGGTAAAAGAAAACATATAGTTAGCTAAAGTGACAGCTGGACATGCCCGATTTGTACTAATTATTGGGTAATTAAAATTATAACAGGTGTGTAATCGCGGGACACAACGAATAAGTTTAAAAAACGTCAGTAACTTGTATTTACAAAAATATTATTATTTTCGTATATCGCTTTTTTTAAATAACTTTCTAATAATAATTAGGAACAAATCACACACGAGATCATCCGTCCCCAAATTAAGATTCCCTGTGTTATGGATACTAGAGACTGACATAATATATATATTTATATACAGTGGTGGTCATATAATTAGAAACACTTCTTTTGAATAAAGAAAGTATAATTTCAACGTACAAATGTTCGTAGAAAATATACACATTCAATAATTAATAATAATGCAATAATATAACCACTCAAAAAAAAAACTCATAGTCATACTCAACTCAACTCAACTTACTTTTAATTACAATATGAGTCTAACACATGTACG